CTGCCTCCCAAGTAGCTGGGACCACAGGCGCCCGCCACAACGCCCGGCTATTTTTTGGTTGCAGCCATCATTGTTGTTTGGCGGATCCGGGCTGGGGATTCGAACCCGCCACCTTAGGTGTACGTGGCTGGCGCCTTAGCCGGTTGAGCTATAGGCACCGAGCCAACTTTAACTTTTTGACTTTTGTGATAACACTTAGCTTAAAACGTAAGCACATTGTCGCTGTCTTCCACCTCCACATCCTGCCCCACTGGAAGGCCTTAGGGGCAGTAACATGCATGGAACTGTCATCTCCTGTGGTAGCATGTTGTCTTCTGGAATACCTCTTGAGGGGCATGTCTGAGGCTGTCCTACAGTTAATTTTAATTTTTTTTATAAGTAGGAGTAAACTCTACAATAACAATAAAAAGCATAGTTTACTATACCAGTAACATAGTCACGTATTATTACCAAGTACTTCGTACTGTGCATAATTGTATGGGCTAAAGCTTTGTAAGATTGGCGGCACAACACGTTTGTTTATACCAGCATCACCACGGCCCTGTGAGTAACGCATGGGCTGTTGTGTTTGTGATGACACTAGGCAACAGGAACTTTTAAGCTCCATTACAATCCTGTGGGGCCACTTTTGGCTATCCCATCTGTCAGTGACCAAAACGTCATTGTGTGATGCATGTTTCTCTCTCTCGCCATAATCTCCTCATTTTTTCTTTCCTACATGAAAGGTAGCACACTCTAGATATTCTTTTGTGCTTTGATTTAGTAATATATTTTATTATATTATTGTATTATTACATATTGCCTTATTACATATAGTCAGCCTGTGTGTCCATGGGGTCTATGGATTTAACCAACCATGGATCAAATATTAAAAAAGAAAAATTGATGGCTGCATCTGTACTGAACATTTATAGACTTTTCTCCTTGTCATTATTCCTAAAATAATAACAGTATGACAACTTTTTATATAGCATTTACATTGTAGTAGGTATTATAAGCAATCTAGATGTGATACAAAGTATATAGGTTATGTGCAAATACTACACCCTTTTATTATATTAGGGATGTGAGCATCTGTAGATTTTGGTATCTGGAGGGTCCTGGAACCCACCCCCCATAGATACCAAAGGATATTAATTTTTTTTTTTTTTTTTTTTTTGAGACAGAGCCTCAAGCTATCCCCCTGGGTAGAGTGCCATGGCATCACGCTCACAGCAACCTCCAACTCCTGGGCTCAAATGAGTCTCCTGCCTCAGCCTCCCAAGTAGCTGGGACTACAGGCACCTACCACAACGCCTGGCCATTTTTTTGTTGCAGCCATCATTGTTGTTTGGCGGGCCCAGGCTGGGAATTCGAACCCGCCACCTTAGGTGTATGTGGCTGGCGCCTTAGCCTCTTAAGCCACAGGCGCCAAGCCAGGATATTAATATTTTAATAATTTACCCACTGAATGCATTTAGGAATCACTTTTGGTATATAGATTTTGATATCTGGAGGATCCTGAAACCCACCCCCTATAGATACCAAAGGATATTAATAATTTACCCACCGAATACATTCAGAAATCACTCCTTATTAGTTCATAGAACTGTTCTGATTCTTTTTTATGGTACTCTGTTGCCATGGTTTAACCTCTCTCCTGTGTTTGGGCATTTATGTTCTTTATAACATTTTGCAATTAAAAACTGTGACAGTGAATAGGCTTGAGTATATACTTTTGTTTTTGAGGTATATCTTTAGGGTAAGTTCTTAAGAGTGAAACTATTAGATTAAAAGGTAAGTGCCTATTATTGTATTTTTAGGTATTGTTAAATTTCTCTTTAAAAGGTTATATCTGATGCACACTTTTTTTGTTACTGTTAGATTATTCTTCTTGCCAGAACAGCAGCACTTTATAAATACCAGATCCTAACATGACGTTTCTTTCACAGATCTTCCGTGGTGGCTTATTCTAATTCGTCAGAAAGCGTTGGTGGGCAAACTCCCAGGAGACCATGAGGTCTGCAAAATTACCAAAATTGCTGTGCTATCACTTTCTGAAATGGAACCTCAGGAGCTTGAACTAGAGGTAATGTGAAATCAAAGGACATTCTGTGGAAGCCTGATAGAAATGTAAAGCAAATATGAGGATTTGGTGCAATAGGCCAAAAACATACATTTTTAAAGCTGTGCAGTATCTTTAAAACAATTTAATCCTATAGTTTTCAAATTTCATTTTAGTAGTAGAACTCTTGTTTCAAAATCTGTGAAATCCGGGGCTGCGGATAGTGGGAGGCCTGCAATCCTAGCACTCTGGGAGGCCAAGGCGGGTGGATTGCCTGAGTGCAGGACTTGGAGCCCAGTCTGTGCAAGAGCGAGATCCCATCTAAAAAAGACAGCTGGGCGTCATGGCGGACACCTATAGTCCCATCTGCTTGGGAGACCGAGGCAAGAGAATCACTTAAGGCCAAGAGTTTGAGGTTGCTGTGGGCTGTGATACCATGGCACTCGACCGAGGATGACAGAAACTCTGTCTCAAAGAGAAAAAAAAATCTGTGAAATTCAGAATATAAGACACATAAAAGCAGGGCTGCTTTTGATAAGGTGATGTTGGGGGGAACCTTGGGCCCCTGTCCATTTGGCCTCTCCTGGGAAGCCACTTTCTACTTCCAGGGAGCCCTAGGGCTCTGCACAGTATAGTTTGAAAACTCCTGATTTGGTGGAAACTAGGGAGCCAAGAAGGGGAGATTTAACTATTATTATTATTATTTTTTTTTTGAGACAAAGTCTTACTCTGTTGGACAGGCTGGGGTGCAGTGGTGTGATCATAGCTCACTGCAGCTTTGAACTCCTGGACTCAAGAAATCCTCACACCTCAGCCTTCTGTGTAGCTGGGACTTGTTACACAGGCATGCCCCACCAAGCCCAGCTAATTTTTTTTTTTTAAGTTAGTGATGAAGTCTCACTGTGTTGCCCAGGCTGGTCTGTAATGCCTACGCTCAAGCAGTCCTGCCTTGGCCTCTCAGAGTGCTGGGATTACAGATGTAAGCCACAGTGCCTGGCCTTTTATCTGTATTGCTTGAAAATTTTCTAAAGCATATATTGCTCTTCTAATTTGTTTTTTTAGAAGAAAGAAAACCTCCTATCTAGTATGATCTTTTCATTTTCCAGGGAAGAACCACAAGCAGAGAGACTTAAGGCCAGATAATGATTTTTTTTAATAATCTCATTAATTTATTAAATAATGGTTTTTACCGCAGGTGCTGCCTCCTGGTAGAAGTAACTTGTGAAAGCACTTATACCTTGTCTCCTATGTGTGTGTGGATTCGACATTTAGGGGATGTCATCCCTCTGACATAGCCTTAGCCTATTTTGTTCATTACATGATGTGCCAGGCAGGTCCTAGGTGTTACCTGGATCATTATACTTAGTCCCTAGGACTATCCTATGAGAAGGGCATGGTTATAGGCAGAGGAGGCTTGGCAAGGTTATAAGTTACACCACTGGCACAGGTGGGGTCTGGGTGTGGATTTAGGCAGTCCAGTCCTATGTCTCTGTGCTCAGCTGCCTCCCTGTCACCTAAACAACAGGTAACAGGTAAGAAAGCACACACTCCCCCACGACTCAATACATGTTTTTCCCTGCTCAATTCTTGGGGAGGATGTTTGAGGACAGGGTTAAATTGTTTAAAAACTAAATAAATAAAAATATAGCTATTTTTATGCTTCACATTTCACTGAAAATTTGAAAGTCTAATTTGAAACTAACATTAAAATTAATTTCAGAGGACCCTGATATTGACTATTTGTTACAGGGTTAATAAAAAAAAAAGATTAGAGTACTTCTTATTTTTCAGTACTAGTGCTAAAATATTATTCACTGTTGCTGATCCAGAGATGAAAAATTTAGGTGGCAAATAGTCCTATTGGAAGTAGATGTTTACAGTTTTTGTTTGCATTTTATTTTGGTGAAGAGCAGCCAGACTAGGAAAACGTATATTGGTTTCTTAAGTCAATAAATTTGTCCTCGGTGTCTTTTGGACGGCTTTGCTGACTAATTGAAACATCAACATGGCTCACCGTCTCCAGCCTTTCCCTCGATGGTGAGCATCTGTTGGGCTGGTGCTCAGTTTGGGCGTTAAGCCGGGGTCTCTGGTAACTTCCTGGAGAGCAGGGGCCTGGCTTGCTAGTCATCAAATCCCTCTCTGTATAGATATTGGCCCTCCCAGCCCTGGGGAAATGAAATGTCAGGTCTCATCCAGAGAAGTCTGGGACCCTTAGTGGACTTTTCAAAGAGGTTTTCTGGGCCAGGTGCAGTGGCTCACATCTGTTATCCTAGCACTCTGGGAGGCTGAGGCAAGTGGATTGCTTGAGCCCAAGAGTTTGATGTTGCTGTGAGCTGTGATGCCATGGCACTCTACCAAGGGTGACAAAATGAGACTTTGTCTCAAAAAGACAAACAACAAAACCCAAGATTTTCTGATGTCCTTCATGGCCACCAATCTAATCTGTAACGTTTTTAAGACCCGTAGCTGGCTATAGTATAAATGGGGAGAGGGGTCCAACTTTAGGAAATAACATTATGTGGAGTTTTTAAACAAAAAGGTGAATATTACGAAAGCTTTAAGAATTTCTTTATTCTTCAGACTTTTCCTTTTCTCTCCAGATAGCTTAAGACAAAGAGATTATCTTCAAATAGAAGGGAGAATGAGATTTCTCCCACATGACACAGTTGAGCATTTTTATAGCTATGGGCTATCCAGTATAAACCACACCACTTAGCAGGGCACCCAAGGTTATGGTCATGATAAGAGTTGAATATACATAAAGATACTTGCTAGTTAGGGGTAAAAGAAACTATAGAGAAAGCATTTCTGGATCCTGACTGAGTGAATAGGTTGGTATACCTTTCTCTCAAGAAATTCTAATCCTAGAAATTTGCACTGCACCATTTCTTTTAGTCTTGTTTTATGGTAAAGGAACTTTGCAGCAGTGACTAGTAAGGGCAAAGAACAGCTTTGTTGAAAATGACAGATTTTTATTTTTCTTCTAGCATATTATTTTAAATTTTGGTATCCGTATTTCAGTTCCTCTATAACTCCACTTAAAAGGAGCTTTTAAAAGCTTAATCATTTTTGAGTTCTATGTTTCTGATTCTATGTGCGTGCAGTTAAGTTTTTCGGAATAGTTTTTATATTGTGCATTTTTCTACTTAACCCCTGTTTTTTATGAACATACGTATCTTTTGTAGGTAAAAGACTTTGTTAAACAAAATTTGCTTTTTGTCTTTGTACGTCTTCCTGTTTTGGATATCTGTGCAGCACTTTGAATAACTGGCTGCTTTTATTCTTTCCAGCAGCCCTCAGGCTTGTTAGTGTGGTCACTGTACTCAGATGTGCTGAAGCCTAGTCTGTCTTCTGCAATTGGAGCAGAAGCAATTTTATTTCCGAGCCTGGTTTTCTGCCTCAGTTGCCTTTTGACCTCATGCATCTATCTTACTTGTTGGTGTGTAATTCATATACCGTATTGTTCACCTGTGTCAAGTATATAACTCGCAACTTTTTGGTATATTCAGAAGCATGTGACCCTCACCACAATCCATCCTGGGACACTTTTGTCACCTCCCCCCAAACCCTGTTCTCATGAGTAGTCATTCCTCATTTCTCTGCAAAGCCGACCTCCCCCAGCTCTAGTGAACCACTAATCTGTCTCCCTAACTCATCACTTGTAGACATCGCCTATAAATGGAATCAGACAATATGTGGCCTTTTGCGACTGATTTCTTTTACTTAGCACAACTTTTCACGGTTCATGCTTGTTGTAGCATCTGTCTGTACTTTATTTTTTTAGTGTCAAATAGGATTCCATTTTATCCATCCTTCAGTTGATGGACGTTTGAGTTGTTTTCCACCTTTCTGCTATTATGAATACTGTGACTGTGAACAATTTCTCATACAAAGTTTTGGTGGACATTTGTTTTCATCTCTCTTGGGTGTATGCCTAGGAATATGTGTGGAGTCATGTGGTAACTGTTTAACTGTTTGAGGAATTGCCAGCTTTTCAAAACAGTGTGCCATTTAAAAAAAAAAAAAGGTCTATACAAGGGCATGAAGAATCTGTAGGGTTCAGGTAAATGAGAACATAGATGTTCTTTCTTTTGAAAAAATACCCTTTAAAGTTTTATAGGCTCACGTTCCGTCTGCCTGTCTTATTTGCTGTATCTCGTTGCCTTCATAGATAACCGCATCATCTTCCGTAGTTTCCCATCAGACATCTGTTTAAAATTTAAGCTCCAGATGGCTGGAGATACCAACTTTTAAAGTAAAATCATTCATTTTCCTTTTCTCAAATACCAGCAGCAACATTAAACCTTAAGCTTGATTATGACACATACGTTGCAAGAGTAATAAATAAATGAAGGTGCTGCCACAGAGCTTGTGCTGGTGGTTTTCTTTTTGGGGTTGTTTATGTCAAAGTTGTGATGGGGCCTAAGCACCTACTGCACAGAATTGGCTGGGCCTCTGGAAAAGGGACCGTGATCCTGCCATCTGCTCTGTGTTTTGTAATCCCAAGGGCTCTGTCTAAACAAAATGTATTAGGACTGAGAAGGATCCCAAGGAGTAATTTTTTCTATCCCTGTTTTTTGGCAGGACTGAATTTAACCTTTTCAGAGAGATAGTGGGCTGTGGTACTTTCTTTTCTAGAGTACTAAAGCAACTATAGAAGATTCTAAAACACTCATTGGAAATGTTGGCATTTACAGTGATTTTAAATGTCTATTTAGAAAAATTAATTTAGGAGAGAGAAGGCCTTCTGGTTAAAGTAGTTCATTGAGTTTGCGCTTTATTTTACAGATCCATGATCTTTTCTGAACAGCCAGGGGCCATGTTTGTTTTTGAATTCAGGTTTGGGGGCCTTTTCCAAAGGTGGTTCCAGGTAGTCTTTGTACTCCCAGTGAGTCTGGAACATTACCCCACGGAACAGCACGTTAATATTTCTTAAAGAATTGTGTGAAAATTCCTACTAAGGGAAGTAAATGCTGACTGTCAGTATTCTCCTATCGGTTCAGGGCATGTTTTGCCATTAGATT